TGTGTGTGTGTGTGTGTGTGTGTGTGTGTGTGTGTGTGTGTGTGTGCTAAGCATTAATGTCTGGATAGTGTTATTTTGGGATTTTGCTATTCTTCTGTCCAATGATGTCTAGTTACAACAGCACAAGCTTATTGCCCAGAACTTCCTATTGTGGTAAAAATTATTTGGGGTTTCTATTCCATCTTTGATCATTCTGTTCTCAATAAAGGACACAATTTTTTATATCTATAATAGTCTCACCATCACTAGAGCTGGGCAGATAGCAACCTCTAAGCTATTTTGTCTACTTCCCTGTCATGAATTCTGGGATATAACTGCCACATTCTGCTTAGGCTGCTCTTACTTCAACTGGCCAAACTTCATAGCCATGTTCTCAGAATTTACTTCTCTATAGCATCTTTGCCTCTCTTCCTCCCTCTTCTCCCCTCGTAATTTCTGCTTCAGACCACACACTTGGGAATAGAAGCCTTGCCTACGTCTCTTCTGCCCAACTATAGGCTGTAGGCATCTTTATTCAACCAGTAGTTTAAATTAAGGAAATTGAGGATCTCCTTGTTCCTGAAGCAACAGTGTTGCGGGAGGGGGGCAGTATTTAGTATTATAATACATAGCAATAGACCAAACCTCAACATCTTCATACGAATGTACTGGTTTGGTTTTTTTGTTTTGTTTTGTTTTTTGATTGTTTTATTTCCTCAGATTTTAAATGTATTTTCTTGCTTTGGATCCATGCTTGATTTTCTAAAACTAAATCTTTTTCTCCATTTCATAGAATGGAAGTCTCTGTATTTCTGCTTCATTAATCTGGATTATAGAATCATTCCAGCATATTATCAACATCCCTTGGGCATTTTCCATAGAGCCAAATCCAGATACTGCTTTTATGCTGAGAAATATCCACTGTACAACTTAATGCCCAACTCTAGCTCTCTAACCCAGCAGCCTCAGGACCTGTCATCCACAAGGCTTCTTCCACTGGATTGCTCAGCATCTCTGTAAACTCCTCTCATTTGCCCATGTTCTGTGGCTTTTCCTAAACACAAATGTGGTTCTTCTTTGATTAAGTACTGATAACAGAACCAAGAAACTATTCTATTCCTGACTAACATGGTTAACAGATGAGTTTATTTAGGCCATGGTTATGTATATATAAATATATATATATATGAGAATGGGTGATCCTTATGTAGCTGCATCACTGAAAAACCTACTCCAGTATGGATGGTGAATAAGAAAAGTGGTATTTTGGAGCTCTCTTCCAGTGTGCACACAGCTCTACTGAAAAGTCCCTTATCCTCAGCAATTATTTGCAGCATATAATCTTGGAGAAGGGTCTCATGGGTCTTATGTATATCTGAGTTTCCTGAGTATCTTGTTTTGTAGGTTTCCAGGTTTCATCAATAGGGGTAGGAACCCTTGACTTTATTAAAGTTGCTGCCCACATGAGGCAGGGCTCTGACAGGAGGAAAACCCCAGCCCCAAACTCAAGGCCAGAGGGAAAAAAATGAATGAACACTCCTTGTTGAATAAAATTTATAGCCACATCCATGAACGTAGGAAGCATCAGGTAATGATCTATAAGGATCACTGTTTAACCTGAAATAGACAAACTTTTGACCGCTTTTCCTTGATTGGTCCCATTCCCCACTTTATTTGAAAATTCACACTCAGACAATCAGTATCCAGCAGGTCCTTAATAAATTTGAGGATCTTGAGGCTTCAGTGTGGAGAAAATGCTGAGATCTGGGCAGAGGAGGAAGATAAGAAAGATGGCTTTCAAGATTTGCCACAATAGAGTTGGTGGAAGCTCTTCCACTTTAGGCTAGAGATGGGAGCCCCGAGGCCCCTGAGGTCCTGAGTCCCCGACTGGTCTTGAGCAAGGATGATACAGGTTCCTGTGGCTATTTGGTCTAGAGTGAGAATGAGAAAATTTTCTTTTATTTGAAGGAAATACAACTGGGATTTGAACTAAAGCCAGAATGGGCAAAGATATGGAAGTGGAAAGGTCATGACCAAGTCCACAAACAGAGATAAGACTTGTAGCAGGGCTTAGAGGACTGGGGGTCAAAGTAAACATGAAAAATACTTCTCACAATGATGATGAAGAAGAAATTGGAGGAAATGAGCAACATTCCTCAGGAAGCCTGTCTATATGGGGCCTGATGTAAACAGTCAGCCCACACCTCAGCAGCTCCCTCATTAGCACAAACTGCCTGTCATGCATAGCTGCTCCTACAGAAAATTCCAGCTCTTCAGCTTCCTAGTGGCAACTGTCTTTTCTTCTTCCAGTGCTACCTTTGTGTGTGTGAATGCATGGTGATGTTTCTACTCTGGCTCCAAAGCATAGGTCAGAAGGAAACTTGTAAGAGTAGGTTCTTTCCTTTCACCTCTGGGTTCTGGAGATGACTTACATCATCAGGCTCGTTTGGTAGCAAAGCCTTGTCTAAGCCTGAAAGGATATTCTCATCTTTCTTGGGCAGGAGATCTGATAGGGTTGCTCTACTGATGTGGACCAAGGTAAATGACCTTCAATGTATTTTCTCCTTGGCTAAACATAATGGACCAGATGAATGTGCTTGATATTGGAAATGAGATGTTAC